AGCGTTGCAGTAGTCTAAACGGGATGTAACCAGAGCGTGGACTACCGTGGCCAAGTCAGACTTCCCAAGGTACGGGCACAGTTGGCGCACGAGTTTTAACTGTGCGAATGCTCCCCTGGTCACCGCCGAAACCTGGGGTTCCAGGCTCAGCAATGAGTCCAGGATCACACCCAAACTGCGAACCTGCGTCTTCAGGGGGAGTGCAACCCCATCCAACACAGGCTGTAACCCTATACCCTGTTCGGCCTTACGACTGACCAGGAGTACCTCTGTCTTGTCTGGATTTAATTTCAATTTGTTCGCCCCCATCCAGACCGTCACAGCGGCCAAGCACCGGTTCAGGACCTCGACAGCCTCCTTAGTAGCAGGTGGAAAGGAGTGACAGAGTTGGACATCATCCACGTACAGATGACATCGCACTCCGAAACTCCGGATGATCTCACCCAGCGGCTTCATGTAGATGTTAAACAACATGGGAGACAATATTGAACCCTGAGGAACCCCACAAGACAAAGGTTGTGGGATTGAACAGGAGTCTCCCAGTAACACCTTCTGAGACCGACCCTCGAGGAATGAGCGGAGCCACTGTAAAACAGTTCCTCCAAGACCCATTCCCGCGAGGCGTCCCAGAAGGATACCGTGGTCGACGGTATCGAAGGCCGCTGAGAGGTCCAGCAGCACCAACAGGGACACACTCCCCCTGTCGAGCTCCCGGCGCAGATCATCCACTAAGGCGACCAAGGCTGTCTCGGTACCATGTCCCAGCCTAAAGCCAGACTGTGCCGGATCTAGATAATCCGTGTCTACCAAGAATACCTGGAGTTGTGAGGCCACCACACGTTCCAAGACTTTGCCCAAAAAATGGAAGATTGGAAACTGGCCGAAAGTTGACTAATTGAGTGGGGTCCAGTGATGGTTTTTTCAACAGCGGTTTTATTACAGCTTGTTTTAAGCTGGCTGGAATTTTGCCTTCCCGAAGGGAGGCATTAACCACCACCTTCACCCACTCGGCCAATCCCCCTCTGGCCTCCTTCAGAAGCCAGGATGGGCAGGGGTCTAGGATGCATGTGGTAGCTCTCATTCCTCCAAGCACCTTGTCCACATCCTCGGATTGAACCAATTGAAATGAATCCATCAAAACCGGACAAGCAGATGCTCGTGTTACATCCTCAGAGACTGCCGTTAATATGGTATCCAGACCAGAGCGGATCAAAGCGACTTTGTCTGCAAAGAACTGAGCAAAGGCTTCACAGCGAGCTGCCGAGTCATCCAAGATGGTGGGTTTTAAAAGGCCTCTGACAACTCGGAACAGTTCAGCCGGACGGTTCTTTGCAGACGCAATAGTGGCCGCAAAGAAAGTCTTCTTTGCGGCTTTTATTGCCGCGGCATATGTCCTTAAGAAGGACACAAACCGTGTTCGATTTGGCTCGCTCGGATCCGAACGCCACACGCTCTCTAGTTCCCTCTTCTTTCGCTTCAACGCTGCCAGCTCCTCAGTAAACCAAGGGGCTGGTTTAGCTCGGCTACTTGAGAGGGGACGTTCTGGAGCGATCGTGTTTATTGCCCTAGCCATCTCCCCATTCCAGAGAGCGACCAGGGCATCAACAGGATCACCAACCGAGGCGGCGGGAAATTCCCCAAGAGCCGTCAGGAATCCATCCGGATCCATAAGCCTCCTGGGGCGGACCAACTTAATGGGTCCTCCACCTCTGCAGAGGTTAGGGGGTTCAGTTAATCTAAAGCTGACCAGGTGGTGGTCAGTCCATGGCAACGGAGAGATCGATAACTCCTCAACACCGCCACCTTCCTCCCATCCCTGACAGAAAACCAAGTCCAATGTGTGTCCAGCACTGTGGGTGGGGCCAGATACTTGTTGGGACAGCCCCATGGTTGCCATGGCAGACATGAAGTCCTGAGCCGCTCCCGATAAGGTGGTCTCGGCATGGACATTGAAGTCCCCCAGCACAAGCAGCCGCTGGGACTCCAATGCCAGGTCCGAGACCACCCCCGCTAGCTCAGTCAGGGAGTCTGTAGTGCAGCGAGGTGGACGGTACACTAACAGAATCCCTAATCTGTCCCGGTCACCCACCCTCAGGTGGACGCATTCAAAATTTGTTGACTGTGGGATGGGGCCCCTGGTGGATGGAATCTCTATAGACCACTGCAACCCCGCCTCCCCGCCCTCCGGATCTTGGTTGGTGCTGCACAGAGAAACCTGGCGGGCAAAGCTGGGTCAAATTCACACCTCCAGCTTCGTCCAGCCAGGTCTCTGTGATGCACGCCAGATCTGCCCGTTCATCCAGGATTAAATCCTGGATGAAAGCTGTTTTGCCATTGACAGATCTGGCGTTCAACAGCACCACCTTCAATCCGGGGGGACCGCCAACCTGGTTACACCAATTCACCGTATCAGGAGACCGATTTGGAGTTACTAATGTTGTTGTACGATCCCTAGGCCGAATTCGGGGTCTCCTTTTCCCGTATCTCCCCATCCCCACCACGACTTCTATGGGGGCTCCCCGACCAATGGAACACCCTCCCTCCTCCATGACGCAATCTACCTTCATAGTTTCACCCCATGCTTCGCTGCTGGTTATCTGATTTATCACCGGTTCAATTCGCACTGAAATCTCCAATTCACTCCCCTCCTTACCTCTCCCGCAGTCAATTAGCAGCAGGGTTAAAAGATACCAGGAGATCGGAACTAGCATGGGTGATGGATGTTTAACACTATCAATAGAGCTACCAAAGTTCTTAAAGTGCAGCAGGTGGTTGTGTCAGTCTCACAGTTCTTAAAGTGCAAAGGAAGATAGTAACACTCTCACTAGAGCAACCAAAGTTCTTAAAGTGCAGCCAGTGGTTATAGCAACCTCACAGGTCTTAAAGTGCAATAGGTTATCGAGATTGTTCTAAAGTGCTAAAATAAGGTGCGTCATGGAGGAACCCCAAATTCAGAAGCTAGAACTAGACCCCTGGGTTGGAGTGCTAAACTGAGCAGGATAGTAAACCAGTACAGTACAGGATAGCAATTTAAAGTGCTGGAGGATTAAGGTGCTGATAGAATAAAGTGCTAGAATTGTGCAGATTAACAGCACCACTCAATATGTTGATAAAGGTATTAAAACACACAAAGTCAGGGCAATGAACGACAGAAAATGGACCAAAAGGTGGATTGATATTGGTCCTTCCGGGAATAGAATTAGTGTCCGCAGAGGTGATCAACGGCCGAAGTCGGCCCGATGGTAGAGAGTGGACACACAGGTGGACAGCACAATAAATTGAACAACACAACGGTCGGCACAGTAGATTGAACAGCACAGGCGGTCGGCACAATGGATAGTTAATTAGTCAACACACGTCGGACAGCCAAGGTCGGTCAGCACAGCGTTGGCATAAAGTTGGTAGCGTAGGTGGCATACACGGTTTGGCCCCAGGGATCCTCAGGAGGGGTGTGGTCCAATTACAACTCCGTTAGGCCGCCCTCAGGCTCTGACCCAAACCAGGCCGGCCAGGGGCAGACTTCCCTGAGGAAGGGGGAGAAGCACCAGATGGAATGCCTAGACGTCTGGAAGGGCGGCGAGAGATGATAAGCACCGACCCCACTCTAGGCTCCAACGCCGCCAGGCCGCCGAGTAGGAAATGCCAGACTGCCGCTGATGCCCGAGTGGCAGCCCTGCCAACCAGCCGATGGCTCCGCCGGGCGATGAAGCGCAGGGGCTGAGCTGATGGACGAGCCTGTTCCAGGCGCACAGAGGCCAATCTAGGCCGCAGGGAGCCGCCGCGGCAACCGCGCCGCACACCAAGATGGCGGCCGCGTCAAGACCCGGGACGGCAGCTCCAACCACCTCAGGGTCCTAGCGCCGCACGCCGACAAGGCCAGTCAGCTGCGGGTCGTCCCGGCCCCAAAAGCTCCGGCCGAGTAGTCCGCGGTTTGGGAGGGAGCATGCTCAGGCCCAACTAGGGATGGGCCTCGCTCCACCTCCGCTCTTCTCTCCTGGGGAACCGGCCCGCACGGCTGAGGCAGCCAGGTGTCCGGGGCTGTAGCTGGAGCACGAAAACCGGCTGGGCCGAACAGGAGGAGGCCGGCGCGGTTGAAAACAGCCCTCTCGGAGATCAGGCCGCCGACCCGCCGGGCAGCCACGCAGCCAAACGAAGCCTCCACTTCTCCGTCCAAGCAAAACGTCTAAGCAAAATTATTGAAAGCTGGAGACTGGAGGATGTAAGGGGTCCGGAAAGGGTCCAATAGCAAGGAGGTAGAGTGTTTGGGGCCGACAATGGCGACGGCCCAGTTGTCTTTCTTCTTTCCTCCTTCCCCCGTTTGTTCAACCTTCCTTCTCCGGTGCTCCCCAAATCAGGTCTCCAAGATCACTTTCGTGACCCTGGGATTACTGTTTGTGTGGGGGGCGCGGTTTTTAGGAGTCCAGAAGGGGGGATTAAGCCAGATTAAGATAGATTGTGGTCCCTCTCTTTCTCCAAGAAGAAGGTTCGCTGCTTACCATGCCGCCATCATACATACACATACATATACACAATATGCATGTACACACACATATATATACACACACACATATATATACACAAATATATACACACAAAACACATATACATAGACTGGGCCACAGCAATGCGTGACAGGGGATAGCTAGTACAGAAATAAGAATAGCTATGCCTGTTTAAGCAACACCTTCTTTGGTACAGCTACTCAAGGTATAGGAACTATTGCAGATCTTGGTCTCTTATATCTTCTTCCTTTCTCTAATGAATTATAATTTCTCCCATTCCTCTTATATACTGTCCAAATAGTGTAATATTAATTGACTAAGGCTCAAAATTAAAAAATAGTGGTGTGCTGGTGGAGCTCATGATAGTTCAGAACGTTTCCTACCTATAGGTCTCAGTCTGTTGTAGAATGGACTGAGCCTTTCCAAGGAGCTGATCACTTTTTCTTATGACTATCTGCCTAACTGTTCAGAAACAATTCGAAGACGAACAATAGCTACCTGATCAGCCGTCTGTTGAAGAATAGGCAACTTCTCTTCTACTGTGTCTAGGCCTCGACAAGCATACTTGTTGGCTGTTGCAACTGATAACAGAAAACAATTTTTTTCTGAAGTCATTTTCATAGCTATTACACTATTTACTCATGATTTATGGGTTGGGGTACCAAAAATATTATATTAGTAGGTCGCTTAAGAAAGGTTCAGAAACATTGCAATAGAGAACTTGAAGACCAAAACATATTCTGATGGTGGAATTTGCTTTTATCTTAGTGTACTGTTAAACAATGAACAATAATTGGATGAAATTGTGTTTCTAGGACATTCAAGAAAACCCACATATTCTTCTTGAAAATTCCTTGCAGTTATCCTGAACTTGGTGTAGTTAGAAAATATATTTATATACAGATGTGCTGTCACGCGCTGGGCCTATAGCAGTTGGCTTTTGAACAGGACATGCTCTTTGTGCCCAGCGGGAAGCCGGGGTGCCTCGAGTGGGAGGCCCTAAGGATTTTCCTATACAGAGTCTTTAGAAGCTTGAAAGGTTTAACAAAGTCCTTTATTATTGCTTAAGTCTTCCACAAACAATCAAATACTTCTTAGATCTTCAACCAATTAAACAAATGCTTCAAGGCTTTGAATCAACTGGTGGCTTTCTTAATCTTGTCCACAAGGGACAGGCAACTGGCTTCGTGAACTGTTTCTTTTCTTTTAGAGGAAAATCCTTTTTAACCCCTCCTTGGGCAATCTACTTTCTAAACTTTGCTGGTGTGGGCTCTACTCCTGGCTCCAAACTGCTTCTTGAGTCCCGAGTAGACCTACCAGTCAAGGCTTTGTAGATTCTCCAGCTGGAGTCCTTTGGAACTGTTTCCCCCCAGAATTTCCCCTGGATGCTGTGAGAAATGAAGCTTCTCTACAGGTGGAGCTAATCCACGTCCTGTAGCTAAGCTTTCCAATGCAATACTGACCTAAAATGGCTCCCTCTCCTCCCAGAGCCCTGGGGAAAGGGGCGGAACCAAAACTTAACAATGATTGATAGGTCATTGGCCCTATAATTGCAAACCAAGGGAAGCCACCTTATTGCAAAATGCATGGAACTTTGGAATACATGCAAATACTCAAAGAAAGAAAAGGAAGTTAGAGCTTTTGGTACAGCCGTACAAGCACAACAGATTAGTTTCTAACTACACCAAGTTCAGGTGTAGTATATATTTAATTTAATTTATTTATTTACCTCACTTGTACCCTACCCTTCTCACCCCAAAGGTGACTCAGGGTGGCCTCACAAAAGCAAAATTCAATGCCGTATAGACACGTGCATATTGGTAAATAACTGCATTAAAATCAACTCAATTAAAAACATAAACATCAAAACATCAGTTAAAACCACAAAATCCAGACCATATATTATATAGAAAAGAGAAGAGATTTGAGGAAGATTGTGGGTGACTTGACCATAAATGTTTATTGTCACACCTGACCATTATAATGAAACCCTCCAAATGTGTCAATCTGCATCTCATTTTGACTCACGTTGGGGTTCAAGTGTGGTCAAAAGTGGCTGTGCCCTGCTGACTGCAGCTCCAGTGATGGATTTCACACTTTTCTCTGCCCCATCACACACCGTCTGAAGATAGGAATTTTTTCTTTTCATGGAAACGTAGTTTGAAGACACCAAGTCACAAACAGAGCAAACCAGAGGCAGGCTGCCAACTCTCTTCAAGATATTCTGACATGGAAACACAAACAAAAAAAGTCACAAGTGGCATACAAGCTAGGCTGGTTTTCCAAACTGAATGGCTCCAGCCCTTCAAACACAATTTTCTGCCCAATATACAGTTAGTTGTGTGGGGTGGGATCTGAAGGTTTTTTCTAGTAAGGAAAATAGCTGCAGCAAAGGGTGCAAAATTGTGCTTTTCCAACTCTTGCCTTAAATTGGATCTACATCCAGAATTGCTTTGGATTGCTACACTGAAAAATGGCAAGAGCTCCTGTTCCTTTAATGGCTCTTTAGAAGAGGCCACTTCTGCAGGTATTAACTTATCACAGTCTTGCTTATTACCTGGTTGTGACAAGCAACACCTGATGAAATGCCCTCTTCCACACAGCCCTTGCCAGTTTTTAGTCCAGCAATCCTAACAGCTAAAAGATTTATTTATATCCCACTCTTCTCAACCCCGAAGGGGACTCAGAGTGGCGCACATAAAGGCACAATGTCATGCATTACATACAATACATATCCAGAAAATAAAACATTTACATTAAAACACACACTAAAACATATCAACATTAAAATTATAAAAATCACACAATCCAATATCATAGTCCAGGCCATTCCAGTTAGCATCACACCATTCCATGTTTACATATTGCACTAATTGATTATCCAAATGCTTGGGCCCACGTCCAAGTTTTCAGTTGTTTTTCCCCTTAAGGTTAGGACGAAGGGGGCTAATCTGATGTCACTAGGGAGGGAGTTCCACAGCCAAGGGGCCACCACTAAGAAGGCCCTGTCTCTCGTCCCTACCTGTGAAGGAGGTGGGATTGAGAGCAAGGCCTCCCCAGATTATCTTAATCTCTGAGATGGTTCATAGAGGGAGATGCACTTGGATAGATTTGGGGGGGGGGGGCGGGATGAATTATCCCTCAAAATAACACTTATCTCCACCCATTAAATATGTTTTTCAGCACTGAAGCGACACCAGCATAGAATTCTCTTCTTCTGCCCTATTTACAAAAAAATTACAGAAATTTTTAGCAGATGTAGAATACTGTGATTATGAACATACACAGTTTTTTGAATGGATAACAAGGATTTTCATGCCGGCAAGTATCCATGACCACTGCTCACATGACTGTTGTGAAATTACTGCTTTATGGGATGAAGTCCTCTTTCACATTCTCTTGGTTACTTTGCCTGTCTCTTTTCCTTGGGTGACCAAACTACATTTCAAAAAGCTTCTAAAAGTTATGGCAATGTTAGAAATGTGGGCACTGAAGGGGCATTTCCTTATTGGGAACAGAATTATTATTTGGAGGGCCATGCCTTCATTTTATCTTCCCCTCAAATCCATGTATTCCTGAAAGAGAAATGAATGTGTGGTATATAGGCCTGGGCAATCCATGGTTCTAAATAGTTCTAAAGTACTTACAAAACTCAAGTTCTGGTGGTGAAAATTTCAGAACTCTAACAAAACTTTCAAAATTTAATTATTATTTCATTATTGGCGATTTTTACGACAGAACCAATTAGGAACTGCCATTTATAATTGAATTTTGAGAGTTTTGTTAGAGTTTTGAAATTTTCACCACCAGAACTTTAGTTTTGTAAGTACTTTAGAACCATTTAGAACCATGCATTGCCCAGGCCTAGTGGACACAATTTATATGGAGAAATTAGAAATATCCAAGTAAGTTAACTTTGCATTTGGGAATGTAAAATTAACTTATTTGGGTATTTTTTATGCAAAATGCTTGGGTCCAGAAATGTTTTGGATTTTGGATTGATTTGCTGAATCACTGTTAAAATATATATTGAGATTTAAATTGAGTTTGTGTTTACAGTATTCAGTATTAAGTTATAGTTGGCCCAATAGAACTTTGAGAGAGGAATATTATCAGTGTTTGGTGAACCCTACTGAGAAGGAGTTAAGACATCTATGAAACATTAAAACACGGAACCAATAAAAGCCAAAGGAACCTAACAGACAACTTTGCTTGAAAGTGCTGCCTCTGCTTGATCTTCCCCACTTCTCTCTTGAATCATGTGAGAAGATGAATTCAAAATATGGAAAGCAGTCCTCAGCTTAAAAATTATATATTCAGTTATGTGGAAAAAACTTGTCCAATTTTGCACGGTCTTAAACCAGAGTTTTGTCAGCTGCTGGCTAGAGGAAACAAATTTGCATTAAGATTTTTAAAGGAATTTATCCAATATGTGGTCTGCAGTGTGCATGCACACATCTTTGGGGCTCCTTTCATTAGGAAGAAACATGCAAGCATCAGACATTTTTCTTTTTTAATTACAAGCACACAAAAGTAGCATATTTTTTAAAAAGCTGTGTATGAAACATATACATATTTCAACACATTTCATTCAACAGGAAAGTATAAAATGGGTAGATCAGAAAAAAGGTTGTACTAAAGTATACAGAAATTTTAATGTGGGAAAAATAAAAAAATCTCATTTGCAGAATTTGGATAGTATGATTAATGATGGTGGGTTTCTCTGAAACTGTTTACATCCCAACTGCCTGCTATAAAGTATGATCTATGGGACCAGTACCCATGGCTTCACCTTCGCACATTCAATAAAATATGTCTTCTAGGTATTTTCTATTGTCACGTGCCAACATGCATCTGTGATACGGTGTTTGCTTTGTAGTTTGACCCTCTTGGTTTTGTGTACTTCTAGATGAGATGCAATAGCTCCCCCCCTCTCTGAGTGTTTGTTGTCACGCCCCCCCCCCCTCAGTGCTATACTTGTTCTGAAGGAAACATGGCTGCTCAGCTCCTTGGAACTTATCATTTTTCACTGACTGTTGTATGATGTTTTATAAGGTTTACCTGGATTGAAGCATCTGGAAGCTTATCTACGTCTCCTTGGTCGAGTTGAACACTGTCTGACAACATATATTTGGTTTAAGTACTGGTTAAATAGAGAGCTACAGGATGCTCCCACAACCTCACACTTGCAACCAAATTATTGAGTCAGAATATCTAGGTTATCCAAGCAATTATGTGGTTTCGGTCCAACTTACCTATCCAAACGTATCTCTCCTTATGAACCATCTAGAACGTTAAGATCTTCTGGGGAGGCCCTACTCTCGGTCCCACCTTTCTCACAGATGCGTCTGGCGGGGACGAGAGATAGGGCCTTCTCAGCGGTGGCCCCTCAACTGTGGAACGCCCCACCTAGAGATATAAGATTGGCTCCCTCCTCCTGATGTTTCAAAAAAAGGTGAAAATGTGGCTTTTTGAGCAGGCCTTCCCAAATACAGCATAGTTATCCGGAATCATGGAACTACTTAATAACGCAATGGAATAATGACTAGGCATGGAGGCGCTCACGATAATGTTTTAAGGTTTTGTACTTTTTAAATATTTTTATATCATATGCTATTGTTTTTAACAGAATTTTATGATTGTTTTTATTTGTTGTGATTGTTGAGGCATCGAATTGTTTCCAATTTGTGAACCGCTCTGAGTCGCCTCTGGGCTGAGAGGGGCGGTATATAAATATGGTAAATAAATAAATATATTCTGCAGAAGTCGCTATAGAGTTGCTCCTGAGAACCTCTCTGTTCCATTTCAGTGGGGTTTACTATTAGTCATGGTTTCCTGTTTCCATAGTTGGACTAGGAACATTTCCCATGTGGATATGGAAACCATACTGAGGATATAGGGATCGTACAGGCAACACTTCCCTTGAGATACTCATTTTCAGGATTTTTTATTCTATGCTTTTATTTGCCCAATATCCATTCCCTTTTCTCCCTTTATTTTAAAAACACTCTGCAAGTTAAGATGGTGATAGTATTGACAAAATGTGGACAATACGGTTTCTCTGGACTACCCCAGAAACATGTAATGTCTCCCCAGCCAAAACAGTAGACAGAATCAGTCATAAACTTTCCCAGGTATAATGGCATATTAACAAGTTTGAGCACAATTACCTCCTCTTCAAGACTGTCATCAGAGGTCTCCGAAGACATGATATGTGGTTCTGGCTTCTTAGTAGACATGATGGGCTCACTGGCCACTGGATGAGAAAACAAATGGATTACGTTAGAGACAGTAATGTCTTAATTAACAGTCAGAAAGTGACCCACAAATTAGCTCCAGTGGTTGGGCAAGACTCATCAGTGCAAACGATAAGAATTCAGATCTCACTCAGCTATGAATTTTCTCAAACTTCAGTTCAGGGTATTCTTTCAGTTCACAAGATGTTCCTTCTAGAATATACAAGTCTCATACACAATTCTAAAAACTTAGGATAGAAACCCTAAATACTAGGGTTGCCACAATAAAAACTAAGACTTCTCCTCTACCTTTAATGCTTTTGTAGGGGACAATTTAAACAGATTCTGTTTCCTATCTGGTTGTGTGACAAACCACACTTGCTGACATTCCATCATCTATATGAGATGGTAGAAAAACTGCTTCCAGTTTTCAACCAGGCAATCATTATAAAAAAAATCAAAATACCTTTAAAATATTTCTCAAATCAGATCATTGAACTTTTTTAGGGAAGACCATGATTTTACTATCACACACACACTGTCCTTCTTTCACCTTTGACAATGAAAGGGGTGTTGTGTGTGCTTGTTGCATGACAAATGTGCTCAGGAACATGATGTGCTTGTTGTACAACTGTGGATTTCGTATTTAAATTACCATGTAACCGTTGTGGTTAAAAGCACCCTCTCCTAAAGTAATCCAGTGTTCAAGTCTGTCTTGAAAACCAAAAGGAATTTGGGACTCCACCCCCAACACCAGAGGAAACACAAACCCATTTTTCAAATGAATCCAGTAGAGGGAAGCAAACTTCTTTTCACATTCTGCTGCTTTGAGTTTGGGACATTTTAGTTCTTTGGGTTACATTACAAGTTTGCTGGGGGCAGGAAAATCCATCACTTTCCCCTAATATTTTTGCAGGTTTGTCAAAAGTCATTATGAAAAGGATGGTGAACATCATTTAGCCTGGTGGAGGCTCTTTAGTGG